TGGTTTTCTTTAAGTTTCATGCACTTTACAATGTTTTCTTTATGATTTCTGCAGTTTTTATGCTTTGAAACCTGGTTGTTTGTGAGTTCTAATTGGTGAGGGAAGGTTTCTTTCATCTGGACAGAGGTGTAGGTCACTCAAATGTCTTTTGAGGGGTGAGTTAATTAGGATTTATCCATGGTTTATGCTTTGAGAAGGTTGTAGCACTTCTAAACCGATTCTATGTCACTTGCAACCATGTTAGGTAGATTTTAATGCTTTGATTTACTGGTTTAATGTCTCTGTAATTACTTTAGATCATTAGTTTTAGGTCTGAATAGGTTTATGGCAAAATTAGCTTTACTTTCATGCATTAGCTTAGTGTAGAATAACTTAGGTGCGTTTTAATTCAAGTTTTAATTTCTTGCACTGCAAATCCCCTTGAAAACATTGAAAAATACCTAAATATACATTGGTGCATTCATTCCATCATTCACACATTGCATTTTACCACTGTTTTAATTTCTGACCGAGTGACACTATTCACCGCAATCAAGTTTTGAACCACGCGCACCAACCACACACTCATACGGTCAACTTCCATTCTAAAAGCTCAAAACTCAAAAATAATTTCATTTCCCTTGGTCAATCATACATTTTATACATTGCATTTAATTCTTGACCGAGACATCTCTTCATACTTTCATTTTGACCGAGATATTGATTTTTTGACCGGTGTTACTGTTCATTGCGGTCGTTGACCGATATTACTGTTCACCACGGTCAGATTTGTGATTCTGCACAGTTTCGTTTATTTTACATTCTGCATCATTTTCATTCATTACATATTAGGTTTTAACCTTATTTTAGTTCATTTTATCATTGTATAATTCATTCATTCATTCCCCATTGAATCATTCATAGCTCATTCACCTATTCTCACTACTTTCTTGGATTGATATTCTGGTTCCCATTATACTACATTCTTATTATCCTAGGGGAACTGATTTGTACCTTCATATTGCGACAAAGGAGAAGCTCTTCAATCTCACTACTTTCTTGGATTGATATTCTGGTTCCCATTATACTACATTCTTATTATCCTAGGGGAACTGATTTGTACCTTCATACTACGACAAAGGCGAAGCTCTTCAATCCCACTATCCACAAGGTTATTGTTAGCGGTTATATAAATATTGTTTTTCTTCAAGGTAAAATTAGAGAAAGGATTGGTGTGCTCCAACCAGAAGACTTAAAGAAAAAGGAAACTTGGTTTGTAGGTTGTCCAAATCTTTGTACAGTTTAAACCGGGTGTCCAGGTTTTAGTACAAGAGATTTGATTCTTCATGATGAGTCTTGATTACAATAGACTAAGTTCAGACTATTGTACCTATTATAATAGATTTGATGAGAATGATTTTATCATTTTGTCATTATATGTGGATAACATGTTGGTGGTAGGCTCCAACAAAGTTCAAATCCAAGTTTTGAAGGCATAATTGGCTAGAAGGTCTAATATGAAGAAATAGTGACCAACAAACAAGATTTTAGGGATGCAAATTCACTAGGACATAAAAGATAAGAAGGTCTTGTAATGATTCAACATGCAAGGGTATAAGCCAATTTTTATCAAGTTAATCTCAAATATGAGTCCTAACAATGAAGCAAGAAGGATGAAAATGTCTCGAGTACTATATGCATCAACGATGGGAAGTATTATGAATACCATGATCGGTACAAGACTAGACATTGCACAAGCAGTGAGAGCGGTTAGTAGATCAATGACAAATTGTGGTGGAGAGCAATAGTATTATCAAGAGAATTCTTATCAAAGGAACCTTGGATGTTGTATTATGTTTCGGAGGATCAAAATCAGTCTTTAGATGCTATGTTTGTTCAGGTTTTGTAGGTGATCTTGATGAGTTTGCCTTTGTTGGAGAGACAATAACTGATTATCCAAGTTATAGGATGTTGTAGCTCTGTCTATTACAAAAGTTGAGTACATGGCAGCCACCCAGACATGTAAGGAAGCTATTTGAATTAAGAGGATAATGGAGTAACTCGAGCACAAGAAAAAAAAAGATTGTTGTGTATTGTGACAATCATAGTGTCTTGCACATTGCAAGAAATCTTGCCTTGTATTTCAGGACAAAGTAAGAAGAACCTAGCAGATGTTATGATAGTCGGTTAACAATGAAAAGTTTACATAGAGACAATCCTACTAAAGGTCTATTGTAATAACAACATGGAAGACAATAATAATATATTGTGAAGATTTGATTACTTTAATCAAAATCTTCAAGTGAGAGATTGTGAGAATGTGAAAAGAGAAGTTCCACATAAGGAAAATTATATATTGGTAGTTACTTTTCTTGTTATAAAAGGAGCACACTATCTACCTTGTAAATTACCCCAAATTTCTTCTCCTATCTTCTAGTGCATTAAATAGTAGTTGAGTTCTCTTTTTTCTGAGAAAAAAATATTATTATTGTTTTCTCCTTACATTTAAATAAGGTATTGTAATTTCTCTTGGTAGTAAAATTCTATTATTGTCTATTATTCGTTTTGTTTCTTTTTTCTCAACTTTTATTTTAGTTATGAGTTTTTATGTAGTTACTCTGATTCCTAACAATTATGACAAACTACTAAAGCAAGATTATCTTATTTTTACACATGTTTGCTGCATATAATGCAAATGTGTCAATGAAGATAAAAACGAATCCACTTTATTTTATCTGAAGGGATATATGCTATCCTATCTTGTCTGTAAAAATATTAGGCCATAATAGGTGTGGACCATAATCTTATCTTTGGATTCCAATTTGTATGATATTTTTTTAGTCTGAATTTCAATTTAGTTTAACAAAGTTTTCAATTATGCTTGTATGGTGTGCCTATAAATAGAAGGACTTGAATTGACTCAAGATAGAATCAATCGAATACAAAATTTCTTTCTTAAAAATATTTTCTCTCTAAGTTTTCTCTTCTCTAAAAATCTAAAGTATATAATTTATATTATATCTCCCTATTTAGATGCAAGTATGTTTTACACTCGTTTATTGTGACAATCATGTGTATCTAAAAGTTTTTTATCCCTAAACCATATCAAAGTTTTTTTTTTCTTGTGAAATAACATGAGTATTGAGTGGATGTTATTGCCGTGATGGTTGAAATTTGTCGCAAAGAATTAATATTTGTTTTGGATGAGAAGGGATACGTCTGAAATGGTAAAAAAAATTAAAAATAATAAACACACATTAAAATAATGAATGTAGGGTTGTCAAAATAGGTGGTCTAACCCAGCCTAGCCTGACCCTACATGCCAAGTAAAAAAAATCTAACAGTCCAACCTAATTTATATTTTAAAATGAGTCAAGATTTTTGGCCTAACCTAGCTCTATATTAGGCCAATAAAAAAAATTTATTTATATATTCTTTTAAAATTTTGTTTGAAAAAATAATATGTAATTGATTTGTTTATTCAAAATTAACTCACAACCTATTTAGATAAAATAAAATTATAAAATATCATAGTACAAAAATTTGTCGTATAAAGATTATAAAATATTGAATACTAATTTTTATACTTATTTAACATGCGACCACTAATACTAAATAAATATTTTGAAGTTCCTGTTGTAATTGGAATGTTTATCACAAAATAAAACACTGCTTAATTTCCAATTTGTCATCTAGTCTTGAGAAATTATTCCATTAATGAGAAGTTAAACATATTCTACTAGAAATATTAGAATCAAATTTTCATTTCTTCAATAATGCAAGTGTATAAACTTTATAATCAAATTTTCATTTCTTCAATTAGCTAGTCTTATTATCCAACATAAGATCCACATCATTATGATATTTTGGAAATATTATGTCATCTTAAATGATTAGTCCTGAAATTTCTTTACATGTATATAATTTTTCACAACCTTTTAATTTACATTTCTCTATCCCTTCTACTAGACCAACTTCTTCAAAATAATTATACACTTTAGAGGTAATGATTTTTTTTGTTTTTTTAAATACTCCACCTTTTTGTTCAACATTGTCCCTCTTGTTATTTTTTGTTAGAAATTATTTCTCTTATTATTATTAAATACATCAAAATTATGATCGTTAATAAATGAATTATTCATTAGAGGAGTATATAGTATGAAATGGAGTTTCTATAATTTAAATATGAGAATAATTAAAATTTAATTAAATGATAAAATAACAAAAATAAAAATACATCTAAAGAATACACATACATAAATATTTAAAAAGAAATGTTGAAGATATGTTAATGAAAAGAGAAGCATAAAAAATTACAATAATATTGACGTAGAAGAAAATTATCATACCACTAAAATAAAAATTTGAATTTTTTTTTAAATTATATATATATATATATATATATAATATTATCAAATTAATTTATTATATATATTTTTTAATAAAATAATATTATTTTTATTTTATTTAAAAATCATTATTATTTTATAAAAGGTAGTCTATCCTAATCCATTTAGTTATTATAGTGAAAATATACCTAGTTGTATTTATATCAAAAATTTATTAAACTTAATTAGTTTGAGAGTCTTTTGAACTAATAGATCGACTAAACACACCGCGCTAATCCAATTTAGGTGGATTCTCGTAACACATTTTTTATTGAATATACATCAATTTCTAATACCAATAAAACCCATCTGTCCCTTCAAAAACCCAACACTATCGTCTTCCTCCCTCTTGTCTTCTTCGCATTCGTCTTCTTACTAGTGGTGTAAACAGGCCCTCCTTTGGTGTGCCAGTTTCCAACACTTCCAGGTTCCCTCACTGCTTACCTCACATAGCAGTGTCGTGCTTCTGATCGTGCCTCAGCGACTAGTTCAAGTTCAAGGTATGTTCTGTAAAACCAAAACCCACACTCTTCTCTACCATAACAACGCAAGATCTACATAAAGTCTCAAAGTAGTGTGGCGCAAGGACCCGACACTCGACCGAGCTATAGAGCACGACAAGCGTTACAAGCAATGTGCCCGCGTCGTCAGGAAGTCCTCAACGAACCAGGCCAAGTCATCCCTCTCCGCTACCTCGAAAAGCGCCGCGAAAGGATGCGCCTCAAGGTCAAAGCCAAAACCTTTCTCAACCAAAACCCCGGCTTGTTCGATGTCTACTGTGACCGCATCAAACCCAAAACCGAACCGGTCCGGTTCATCCTCCCCACCGACCGCCTTCGCCGCTTTCTCCAGGAAGAGCAAGGGATTTTATCTGAGAAGGAACCCTTCATTGTCTCAAAGTTGTGGAATGATTGGTTAGATATTGTTTAGATATTATTTGATATTATTAGATATTATTAATCATAATATTAATCAATATCTTCGTTTATTCATATTTTTAGTTCTCTTTTAGTTGTATCTCTTTACTATAAATAGACTATTTTATGTGTGATTTATACATAAGGGAGATTATTCTCAAACTCTATTTCTTTTATATTCAATATGGTATCAGAGCAAAAGTCTAACATCTTTTTGGTTATTGTCATGAGCCAAAAGTTGTCATTTAGTTGGGTCAAAAAGTATCATTTGCCTGGTCTGACAGACTTCGTTAGAGGAGGCGTGTTGAATGTCCCACATCGCCTATCTCATATCATTTGGTATGGTTTAAATACATGTTAGCCTACTCCACATATTGTCAATTAGTTTTATGTTGGAACATTAACATGGTATCAGAGCTTAAGGTTATTTTGAAAAAAAAATTTCACCTTTGACCACTATTGAAGCCGTCACCACCGCTGTTATCGCTATCGGTTATTTGGTAATGTGAAAGTGCATGTTTAGGAAAGTTCTGACAAGGAAAGACTTGATATTTAAGTGTGTCTATTAGTAATCTATCTCTCTTTCCTGGGAATTTACCTGGTGTATTGGTTCACACCTCCGCCTTTTATGACTTCTTCTGCTCCTTTTAGTACTTCCAATTCTGTCAGTATTGCGTCTGATTCTTTCATCTACACTAACTATGTTAATGTGCACTTATCCATTGACAAGTTAATTGACCCTAATTATGTCACATGGTCATCTTACGTCAGATTATGACTTAAGAGTCAGAAGTATCTTGATCATCTTGTCCCGAAAGCACCTACTCTCACTCCTGGTGAGGAAGACCGTTAGAACACCATTGATGCTCAATTATGTGTGGTTCTCAAGGGTACTCTTGATCCTTCGTTAAAACAAATTTTTCGTTCCTACGAAACATGTGCAAAAATCTGGGAACATGTCAAGTTATTATACACCAATGATACTCAGCGTCTCTATGATGTATGTTCTAAATTTGTAGATGTTATTGTCTCTAAACATTAAGATTCTATGACTGATTATATGGGCAAAATTCATGCTCTTTTTCATGAGTTCAATGAATTATTGCCTCCTTCCCCCGACCCTGCCACCGAGATAAGACAACGATCAAAGTTCTTCATGCTAGGGGCATTACACGGACTTGCTGATCAATATTCATATATTCGTGATCAGATTTTGGGTTCTCCGGTTGTCCCCACCTTGACATCGACCTGCTCCACTCTTTTGCGTATACCAGCAAAACCCAACCCTGACACACCTATTTCTGCATTGGTATCTCACCGTGATGACCGAACTCGCCCTCGCAAACAAGGAAAAGGGCGTCCTAAGTGTGAACATTGTGGCAAGCTAGGTTACAAGATTGACCAGTGTTATGCATTACATGAGTGTGAACATTATGGCAAACTAGGTCATAAGATTGACAAGTGTTATGCATTACATGGTCGTCCTTCTCGATCTGCTACAGTTGCTCAGACTGATATTTTCCCACCTTTATCTGCTAAGGATCCTCCTTCTTCTATTTCATCAGACACACCTGCTATGTTCAACAAATTTCTCAAATGGTATAAGGATCAACAGTCTTCTAGTTCCACTGTGTCTGTCGCACACACAGGTACATGTTCTTTTGGTCCTTGGGTTTTTTATTCAGGAGCTACTGATCATATTACTGGTAACAAATCTTTGTTCTCCTCTTTATCCTCTCCTGATCTTTTACCTTTTGTTACACTGACTGATGGCTCTAGAGTATCATCTCATGGTGTTGGAACTGTTAAGCTTTTCCCTTCTTTAACCATTGATAATGTTCTTTATGTCCTTAGGTCTCCTTTTAACCTGTTATTCATCAGTCGTCTAACTCGTTCTCTTGATTGTATTGTTTCTTTTACCAACAATTCTATGTGTTTACAGGACCGGAGTTCGAAACAGGTGATTGGCACAGGATGTGAGTCTCATGGTCTTTATCATCTTCGTCCCTTTACACATGTTGGTGCAGTTATAGAATCTCCCTCTCTTCTCCATGCTCAGTTAGGTCATACAAGTCTTGCCAAGTTACAACAACTTGTCCTTGCCTTATCTAAATTGTCTAGTTTGGCATGTGAGTCGTGTCAATTAGGCAAGCATAGTCGTACTTTCTTTCCTCGTAGTATCATACGTGGTGCTTCGTCCCCTTTTGTCGTGGTTCACTCTGACATTTGGGGACTTAGCCGTGTTAAGTCTACTTTAGGTTTTCAATACTTTGTTACTTTCATTGATGATTATTCCAGATGCACTTGGTTATTTTTTTATGAAAAATCGTTCTGAATTATTTCATATCTTTCAAACTTTTTTCAATGAAATTCAAACTCAGTTCGGTGTTTCTATTAGAGTTTTGCACAGTGATAATAGTCGTGAATATCTTTCTCATTCTTTTAAACAATTCATGGTTTCTCATGGTATTTTGCATCAAACTTCTTGTGCTTATACACCTCAACAAAATGGTGTAGCTGAACGTAAAAATAGATATCTTATTGAAACAACTCGCACTCTTTTAATTCATGGAGAGGTTCCTCAGCATTTTTTGGATGATGATCTTCTTACTGCATGTTATCTTGTTAATCGCATGCCATCTTCGGTTTTAAATAATAAAATACCTCATTCCATTTTATTCCCTCATGAACCACTTCATCCCTTACCTTTAAAAGTTTTCGGGTCTACATGTTTTGTTCATAATTTCAGTTCTGGTCTTGACAAGCTTTCTCCTAGATCACATAAATATCTTTTCTTAGGGTTTACAAGATCACAAAAAGGATACAAATGTTTTTCTCCTTCTCTTAACCGTTATTTTGTGTCTGCAGATGTTACCTTTGATGAGTTCTCTTTTTATTTTAAAAGTCAATCTTCACCTCTTTCTCCATCCAATCTTGTCAACATTCCTAGTACATTTAATGTTCCTGTTGTTTGTGACCCTCTAACTGTTTCTTCTTCACCATTAGTTTCTACTCCGCAGTCAGCTTCTTCTTCACTACCTCTTCAGGTTTATAGTTGCAGAAACCAATCACAACCATCACCATGTGACTCTACTCAAGTGTTAACTACTCTGTTTCCTCTGAATGTGACACCTGAGTCTGACCTTCTCATTGCCCTCCGAAAAGGTATCCGTTCTACACATAATCCATCTCCCCATTATATTGGTTTGAGTTATCATCGACTGTCATTACCTTTTTATACATGTATTTCCTCTCTTTCTTCTGTGACCATTCCAAAAAATGTGCATGAAACTTTAGCTCATTCTGGTTGGCGTCAGGCCATGTTAGATGAACTAAGTGCTCTTCATAATAGTGGAACTTGGGAATTGGTCTCGCTACCGTCTGGGAAATCTATTGTTAGTTGCAGGTAGGTGTTTGCTATCAAAGTTGGACCTAATGGTGCTATTGATCGCCTCAAAGCTCGTCTTGTGGCCAAAGGTTATACTCAAATTTTTTGGTTGGATTATGGAGATACCTTTTCCCCTGTGGCAAAGATGACTTCTGTTCGTTTATTTATCGCCATGACCGCTCTTCAACAATGGTCTCTTTATAAACTAGATGTTAAAAATGCTTTCCTCAATGGTGATTTGCAAGAATAAATCTATATGGAGCAACCTCCTGGGTTTGTTGCTCAGGGGGAGTCTTCTGGGATGGTATGTCGTCTTCGCAAATCCCTATATGGCCTAAAATAGTCTCCTAGGGCCTAGTTTGGAAAGTTTAGCAAGGTTGTTCAACAATTTGGTATGACTCGATGTGAAGCAGATCACTCTGTCTTTTATCGACACTCAAGTGTTGGATGTGTTTACTTGATAGTATATGTTGATGACATCATTCTTACAGGTAGTGACAACCATGGCATCTCTCAGTTGAAACAACATCTCTGTCACAATTCTTAGACCAAAGATCTTGGCAAACTTAGATATTTCTTGGGTATTGAGGTGGCACAATCCAATGATGGTATTGTTATATCTCAAAGGAAGTATGCCATGGATATTTTGGAGGAAACTGGGTTGATGAATTCAAAGTCTGTTGATACGTCCATGGATCCCAATATTAAATTCTACCAAATCAAGGGGAGCTTATACCTGATCCTGAGCAGTATAGAAGATTGGTTGGAAAATTGAATTATCTTACAGTTACTCATCCTGACATTTCCTTTGCAGTCAGTGTGGTAAGCCAATTTCTTAATTCCCCATGTGAAGATCATTGGAATGCAGTCATTCGTATCTTAAAGTATATTAAAGGATCTCCTAGAAAATGATTATTATATGATTCTAATAACCATACAAGAGTTGTTTGCTACTCAGATGCTGATTGGGCAGGATCTCCTTCAGATAGAAGATCTACATCTGGATATTGTGTCTCCATTGGTTGTAACTCGATCTCATAGAAAAGTAAGAAACAAAGTGTTGTGGCAAGATCTAGTACAAAAGCAGAATATAGAGTTATGGCCTCAGCTGCTTGTGAACTTGTTTGGCTCAAGCAATTGCTTAGAGAGTTACAATTTGGAGATGTCACTCAAATGTCACTTGTGTGTGACAATCAGGCTGCTCTTCATATTAGTTCTAATCCTGTCTTTCATGAGAGGACCAAACACATTGAGATTGACTGTCATTTCATTCGAGAAAAGATTATGTCTAGAGCATCAAGACTGAGTTTGTTAACTCAAGTGATCAGTTAGCAGATATTTTTACTAAATCTTTACGGGGTCCTAGAATTGATTATATTTGTAACAAGCTTGGCACATACGATTTGTATGCTCCAGCTTGAGGGGGAGTGTTAGATATTGTTTAGATATTATTTGATATTGTTAAGATATTGTTAGATATTGTTAGATATTGTTAACCACAATATCAAACAATATCTTCTGTTTATTCTGTTACTTTCAGTTACTCTTTTAGTTGTATCTCTCTACTATAAATAGACTACCCTATGTGTGATTTATACACAAGAGAGAT